TGCTCTCTCTCTCTCTCATTCTCTCTCTCAAATAAATAAATAAAATCTTTAAAAAAAAAAAAAACTATACAAGATAGATACCAAAAGTCATGTTCATATCCCCTTTTGAAATACTTTCTTGTTTTTTTCATTTTCCCTCCATCTACTGTGTTTTATATATCAGGAAAGGTAAATTCTGAATATCCTGTGAAATACACCGTATATCAATAATTAATTGTTAAAGAATTAGAACAAAATAAATTGGCTAATATTAAGGGGGAGAAAGTACACAGCCATAAGAACACCTATAAGAGGGCATCTGGTTCTGTTAAGAAAGTTGAGGAAGTCTTTGAAACTAAGATCTGGAGGAGCAGAGAACATGCCAGCCAGAAGGAACAGTCCACACAGAGGCCCTGTGGCAGAAGACCACACGCTGGCCAGCATAGCTGGTGTCTCACGCCATTTAATGGCTGAGTAGAGAAAGAGGAGCCTACAAATAAACACATTCAAAGAGCAACTGGAAACAGAAAAGAATACTAGAAGAAATTTCCACACAGAAGCCAAGGAAAGAGGTTTCTTCAAGGACAAAACGGTCAACATAGTTGAACGCTACTGAAAGGTCAAGTAGCATGAAGACCTAAAAATGTCAGTGGGATTGTACAACACGGAGATCACTATTGTTATTTCTTCTTGGCAAACAGTGTTTCACTACAGTTGCTCAGACTAATTGGCAAAGTAGGAGGCAGAGCAGGCTGAAAAGATGCACAGTATTTCAGATTAATTCCAATTATACAAAATAGCAGTGTGTGTCTGTATAGTGCACAGAGACAAAAAAAGGAGAAGAAATACATTGAAATTAGTAAATATATACCCACTGAGATTATGGATAACTTTTTCTCATTTATAATTTTTTAATAATTATTAATTTTTACCATAAACAAATGTTATGGAAACAAGGTTTTAATCTGTCACTTTAAAATTATATACAGCAAGAAGAACATAACAACATCCAGAATGAAGATTGCAGGTACCTTTACCTCCACATTTACCAGCATAATCTTTTAATGAAAACAGAAGAGGAAGAGTGTTTATTTGAGGTTCTTATTGTAGAATAAGGAAAAACAAAGATTCTAAAATCTATTAAATTTTAGACATTTAACATCAAAAGGAATAAATTATTTTACTAGTTCTTTTCAGAGTCTCTCTGAAGCCTTCTGTTATAAAAGTTTAAGTTTGAAAAGTTCAGTATTTAAGGGGGAGAAAGCAAGCAGGCGCAAGGAGTTATAAAAGATACTAGAGACTACTGGTCTTACAATCTTTCATGTTCCTTCACAACCTTGCCTCCACTTACCCAGTGGCACACTTCTTGTATTCATTGCCAGAGAAACCACAATTGCCAAATCTGTCACCTTTAGAATTCACATCAATGAAACAATCTCTTGGGGCAGCCTTGGCTTCTGTAACATTAAAAAAAAAAAAAGTATGGCAAATTTAATTCAGAAATAAAAGTATTCCCTATGACAACCCATACACCAGGATGAACTGCCTCAACACCTTCTAGGAAGTTTCAAGCCTCACAGGTAAAACATTTTTGTTCCACTTTTATACTTAACAACAAAATGTAAAAATAAAGCTTAGATTGTATTTAAAAGTTAGCATGGGCTCAAAGAAAAGTCATTAAAAGAAATGCCATTAAAAAAGATGAAATTATAAATAAATGAAAAGACACGCACAGTCTGGTGGTGTTCTCCACATATCCATTCTCACGGCTCTCAAACACGTACCTGCTGCATCGTTGGATCAGGCTGGGAAGGGCTGGTGAAAGCACTGCCAGCTATTATTATTGGTTTTTGTATTTACCACATATAGATGCTGAATTCTGATGCCCCCACTCACAAGACGGAGTGGCAAACAGCCATGACAGCTGACAAAGTAGCAATCCGTTCTTGCTTTCTTGTATCTTATATGTGTATTATCACTTCATGTTCAATTCTCCCGCCAATTACACATTCCTAAAAAATTTTCCTTGAAAATATTTTTCAGCCAAAATGCCAGTACTTTCTATTGAGTAAAGGAATTCACTCGCCTATCTTACACATCTACTGCTATGTTGTTTTGTTTAAAAGAAAGTGGCTGTGGGGGGAAAGAAGCTGGAACAAGAAAGAGGCAGAGGACCACCAGCACAGGGCAAACAGCACGTGGCAGCATCCCTAGCAGGGCCCTTCCACAGAACAGAAGGAGCTCTACAAATTCCAGATAATCTCCAAAAAGAAAAATAACTCTAGTTCCCTTAGTCCTAGACTTTTCCGCAGGCCTCTATGAAGATGATATCACTGCTAAATAACAGTATTTACCTCATTAAAATGTATCTGTAATTATTTTTTAGTCTGCGATAAGCTGCCTATTTTTGCAAAATGGATCTGGAGTTGACAGATCTCTACTATTCTATCCCATGACCTGACTTAACACAAATACATCCCATTTAATTGTTAGTCCTCTTTCTGACCCACCCACCATAAGATAAGGGGTATAACAGAACAAGAGACAGAAACTAGAAGTCTGGTCAAAGTCAACATCTCTAGTTTCTGAGAAATCTAGCACAGTACACATGACTGATCTTCTTAACTGAGAGAAACAAAAATAAAAATAGAAGATTTGGGTCTTCTTTCCTTTCCTTTTTCTCCCTCCCTTCCTCTGTTCCTTCCTTTCTTTATTAAATATGTATTAATCCCCTACTAAGTGTCTCACACCCTGATTAGCAATGGATATAGTTTACCAGTACCTCTCTGGAGAGAAACAGAAAAGCTCCCGTTAGTAACTCTCTATTGTCTTAATGACAAGCCTCAACAAATATCTAGTACTCATGCATTCTATTCACTTGAACGTGTTGTTGTTGCTGTTCCTACTGACTCAAGACGGAAACAGAAGAATGGGAAAACAAGATCCCAGGATGGTTTGGGCATAAACCCATCATTGCCAATTATCAAACAAAGCAATCTGCCTCATTATGCCTCACTTTTCCTTGAGAACCTCAATCACTTGAACTCAAGGAAGGAAACACAAGATGCAATACAATAAAGACTACCACTGCAGAAATATAGCTAGCATCAGTGTGTAATCAAAATCAAGCTGACGAAAGGTGCTGCCATGCCTCAGTGTATAGTCCCCATGGCTTTTCACCAGAACTACTTGTTACAGCTACTTGATATCCCTTTTGCATAATGAACAGCAAAGTCAAAGAAGCAATCAGAAAAGTGTGACTTGCACAGACCTAAGGCATTGGTTAGCTGATCACGGTGCTCCTAGAAATAAAAAGAGAGGAAGCCTACCAGTAAATTTTTACTACATCTGCATAAGCAGAAAAGTTCTAGATTAAATGAACAAAACAGTGCCATGGGCCCTCAACCAATTCCCAAAC